ATTTAATTTTATATTACCTATAACCAATAGAAAGCCAAGGTTTTTGTGGGGAGTCCAGAGGAACGTCACACTAGAGAAAGTGCAAGGGATGCAGAAAAGCAGACCGACCCTGATTTATTCAATCAAAGGACCAACAGGATGTGCAGAAATCCCCTTCTGCTTTATTCACAATGTCAATGAATGAAAGTCCACTAAGTGAAACTTAGTGATATCTAGAAACATATATATATGTACATACCAATGGGTATGCCAGCAGTTGTCTTGCAGAACACCCCATCTCTACAGTGAGCATTATAGTGCAATCAGTAAATACAGGTTTGAGGCAAAGCATACATGACCAGGCAACACCTGCCTGGTTGTGGAAAATAAAAACATAAATGAAAGGAATTGATTAGACTTACTCCAATCAAAGGCAAAAGGATGTGTGTAGAATTGCCACAGGAGGGAGATAATATCCACCTGAGGATGATACAGTCAAATCCTCCAGATAATGAGCAATAAAGGTATTGTGATGGATTAGTTCACTTTCTGGCCTTAGCAATCTCCTCCAAATGGTGGCAAAGGTGATATGACAAATTTAAAGAGAAGAAACATTCTGGAGATGGCAACCTTCCATGGATAGGTCTGAATACACCAGCCTAATGAGTTGACAAATCCAACCAGTTAGTGTAACAGGGTATGGGTCATGGGAAACAAAAAGGTTTCAGGGAATACAAAGTCGGGAACATGAAGCCTGAAAGTAGGCAGAACATGCCATATAACACCGTAAGGACCGAAATGGACAAAGAAGCCGATCAGAATTGGAATGGGAGTACCGGTGGGAAATGGAAGGTAAAAAAATGGATGTGAAGACCAAACAGCCTCTACGGGCAGCATACGTCTGAGGGAGGAAGGACTGGTCAGGATATAGGATGACACAAGAGGAATGGTAGAGAAAACAGGTAACAGTGAAAACATAAATATCTGATCTACGACATCTGCAAGAAAGGAGGAGAAGGAAATAGGTCTTGAGAGAGAGAGATAGTAGATGGAATATGATAACAAATGTTGAAAGGGAGGGTGGAAAAACCATAAACGACCACAATGAGATCCCAATCAAGTAAACGAAAAGAACTTGGAGTATGCATGACCAAAAGGAGTGGAAAAGGAGGGAAATGACAGGGGAAGACAAAATCTGGAGAAACTGAAAGTCTTCGACAAGGCCGCCCAAAAGCTAGACACGGTCAAAGTGGACAAGCCTTTGTCAAACAAGCAGGAGAAGAATTAGGAAAGATGAGGGATGGAAGGGTGGGAAGGACAGAAACCATATGGACTAAAAATGGAAGGTATACTATAGCTTGTGGTAAATGGACATGGATCAAGAAAGGACAGATGCAACATGTGGAGTCAGTTCCTGGGCTGAGACAATGAACCTGACGAAAGCCAAGCATGAAGACAGTGTGCGGTAATGTCTGGATGAACAATATCCGACCGAGGTTGACAGAATATAGACTGATTCAGAGGTAAAGGTAGAGTAAAGGTTGGAGCAGTGGGAACAATAGTTGCACCAGCCAATATGGTGTCACTAGTAGGATGAGACAGAGAATGGTTTGGAATAGGGATAGAACTCTGGAGAAGAGTTGAATAGAAGTGTAAGCATAGATGTGAAGAACTCTTCAATCTTGACAGAATGTGACCACCCCAAAGTTAGCAGGTATGGAATGGGATACAAAAAAGAAGGAAGTTGCTCCAGTAGGCAGTGAAGTCATAGATCAGGTGTCACCAGCTGAGAACACACCCACCTAAAAGCCTGTTGACCAAGGGACCACATCATGGGGAGAATTTTGGTGGGAAGAGATAATCAATCTACAACCAGATTCAGGGAGCCAGGGAAATGACAAACTAAGACCACAATATAGTGACTGTGGGCCCAGAAAGAAGATCCAGGATCTGAAAGCATAGAGACCTGGAACTGGTAACCCCCTTCCTCTGTGATATAAGTGACCACTGTGGAGATATTGAAATGTATATCATAACTACCCTCCTCCACAGGAGAAGGAAGTGGGACAAAGCTTGATGAACTGCCAAAGGCTCAAGAATAGTGACATAGAGAGAAGACTCCTTGATTGACCACAGACCGGAAATATCTTGGAAGTCAAGGTAAGAACCCCAACCCTCTAAAAATGAGTTCATGAACAGAGGTATATCCAGATGAGGTGGAGAAAGCAGCACTCTCACAGTGGTCTGGTCTCTGTCTAACCACCAAGTCAGAGAAGTTCCACAGACCTAGGAGTGTCCACCAAAGGGAACACTTATGAGCGCGACCCATGAGCATGAGAGCTTACAAGGAAGCCCACATCTCCAATAGAAATAAAACATCTCAAGCTGTAAGAAATGTGAGGCAATGGACTCGTGAACTGCCTGCTCCATACCTGAAGATGAGGAAGAGAAGGCTTGGTCTGACTGAGGTTGGAATGAAGACACCCCAAACAAACAGGGTATTTGAGTGGAATCTCACCCATGTTGCTTCTTGTGTGGTCTTTGGACTGTGAATGGGAAGAAGCAAGTAGGAGCCAGTCATCCATAAAAAGAAGAGTGTAAAGACTCAGAGAGTGAAGATGTCAGGCAACAGTTTGTACCCCTCATCAACAAAACACTTAAAGAGCCAAGGTTAGTCAAACAGTAGGGCCCTGAACTGGAACACTTAACTTAGAGCAGTAAAAAACTATAGACAATGTGGGCACTGTGAAAAAGAACCCCAAATTGTAAATTATGAAGAGAAATGAGGTTTCTAGTATCACAAACATAGGAAAAAGAGGCAAAGCAAAGCTGAACCCTATGAATGGGAATAAAATGAACACGTCAATGACATAACAAAGAAATAAAAAAAAATTAAGTCCTACGTTGAGGAAAATTAAATGTGTAAATAAAGACAATGCCACACAAAGGACACCTGAACCATGCTTACCACAAGTATATCAACCAGTTGTAAAGTGTACATGTTGAAAAACTTACCACAAATCCCCTGGGAGAACTGGAAGCAATAGGAAGAAAAAGGAGAAGATCAATTGTCCACCAAAGTGAGTGAAGTGGAGGCACGGAAACTGATGGAAGATGAAAATTCCTGAAGAAGTGTAGTGTGTGTCAGACCAAAATAAGAAGGTGCTGGAAAAAAGAGAGTCCAAATTGCCTTCTCATCGATTGTATTCTTCCTCAGAAACATTGTCATATTGAAAAGAAATCACCAGCTGAACAAATGAACCTAGCTCCCTGTGAATTAAAGCCTGTACCTACTCTGAAAATGAAGCCAAATCGATTCTTGGGAAGTCGTACCAGTAGCATTTTTGAGTGCAACGAGAATTTCAGTAGTGATACATTGATAACAAATTCATACTAACATTTCTTATAATTTGGTAACAAAAAATTAATTAAAAAAAAACTGAAATGGCAAAGAAGCACATTCATAAATGATAGCCACATGCAAAAAAAAACACATATTTAAACAACGCTTTGCCAATCGAGAAAGTGAGGATTGAGCAGGTATAGCAGAGGGAGGTAATTATGTCAATATAGGTGCAGCAATATTATTGGTTGAAAGTAGTCACATGATATGTATGTGTTCAAAAATGGTGCACTGAGTGCAAAATTTTTTAACAATGCTTAGAGGGCAGATAGAAGATCAAGATAGTTTTATGTAAGTTGAGGCAAGACCATACCGGAATTAAAATATTGTGAAAGTGTCAAAGTCTTTATTTCCTTAAATTTTGAAAAATTTATCAAAACTAAATGCACATCCCCACTGAAATTTTTAATGGAAGAACAGATTTCAAGGTTGCAACAATTTTTCAATTTTTTTCTGAAGATAAATTGGAAAAAGGATTATTTCCATCAACTATGTTAATTTTCTAATTTTATGAGATAGAATGTGTAAAACAAACTCTGAAAATTTTCATCATGTTTTAAAATTTTGAAAACTAAATGAAACATTGAACTGATAAATGATATATTAGGCATCAAGAAATTAATGTCGCTTTTTTAAATGGAAAAACCCAAACAACTTATATATCAAACCAAAACATTTATTTAATGAAATAGTCTCCATTCTTATTGATGATACTTTTCCATCTTATAATCAGGTTGTTAATGCCCTGATTAAAGAAATCACTTGACTTTGAAGCAAAAAACATGTCGATGTCCTCTTTAACACCTTCTACATTTGCATATATTTTCCCATTAAGATGGTGTTGCAGCAAACAAAAA